CTGGGCAAACAGTCAAGAATTTGTCATCTGTGGTAGATATATAAATCAGAACGGATAATTCCAGACGGTTTCTTTAACAAAATTTAGATCCTTCTATTAAATTAATAAGTGGATGCTGTTTATTCAAAAAGTATAATTTGTAAGGTAACCACAGCAATATACAAAATTTCTAAATGTAGCTTGCATGAGGAACAAGAGTTGTGTTGGTATGTCACCATCAGCAAATACCAACTTACATTGCTTTCAGCTTGTAAAGGCAGTAAGACATGCACAATAACATATACACAAAATGGAGTATTCATCCTTGCTGATAAAAGGAATTTTGATCATCTTAACTCTCACAGATCACTAGCCTGAAAATCAGTCAAAAAAAAGTGCTTTCTTGTGACGATTAGAATTATTATACAACAATCACTGACCCATGACTTTCAAGTTCAGACACAGTTATTAGATCATTCAATCTCACTGCTATGTAGGAAAACCAACAGAAGCCGATTCTTTTGCATGTAGCCTGCTGCTGTGGTTAATCACTCTCATTTGAGCCTAATTTCTCATTTAAGACTGCAGAGTTTTTACTCAGTGTTAGTTCTTATTTTTTTTCACTACTAGATTAGAGTCATTTAGTACTTGTTATTTTCTCCCAGTGTGAGTGATTATAAACCATAATCAAGCTTTTTAAGTCTCTCACAGCGAGATATCATCTTCTGTCCTTTGAATTATTCTTCTGAAGAGCCCTTACCAAATATGTTAAATTATGTACACACGCATATAAATATTATTCAGAAGTACACAAAGTGACCTTTCAAAGGGGTATTGATCGTGGCATTTACAAGTTATGTGCTTATATCTTTGAAGTATATCACCAAAAATTAATGAAGATATTCCTACTATGTGAGGAATTCCAATGCCAGACCACATAAAAGTAGGAAAAAAAAATGTTAGTTACTGCAGGGAGCTAGGATGCATCACTTCAACTTCCTACCATCAAATATGTTTAAATCAAGAGTTAATTCCAGGGAATAAAAACTGGAATACTCTAAAAGAAATAGCCAACTTAATGAATAGCAGCTATTGCATGGCTTCCCAAGCAAGCTCAGGGAAGGTATGTTCTGAGATGTGGAGGCCTTTCTCTTCTATTGCAGAATTTGAAATCCAAGACACCTTTTAGTATTTGGCCTGCTTTTAAAAACCTATCTTCCCCACTGCTCACCCAGTTTCCTGTTGTGCAATCTGCTTACATTACTTTTTCAATGTTCATTTCCTCAAACCTCTAATTAGTGTAATAAAGTAAATGCAATTCATGGTCATCACCTCAAAACATACCACAATGTTTCTCCACAATCCCTAATGCATTCATGCCACAGTTCTTTCAAGAGAAGTAACTGCCTGAGGATCATCTCTGCTTTCTTGATTTATACTTCCTTAATTCTGTCAGTCTTAGAGGGACCTTGTTTCTGATGTAAAAAAAATACAGTCTTCAAGTGAATAATGAAAAACCACACATACTTTCTTATGAATATTCTGTATTAGAAAATCATCCCTGGAATATTTTAAATATCTTAGAGAATTTTCTGTTTAAACCATTTCAATTTAGAGTCTCAAATGCTATAAAAAGTGAAACTTTCGCTAAACAGAATAAGGTCAATTTTCACAGGTGGGTAATTCTGATAATCAACATCAGTCAGATGATTTCCAATATGCATGCAGACAGCATTCACCATACTTTAGATATTTAGTAATCTTATTTGATTTCAAGCTGTAATTAACTACCCTGAAAGGGCAATTCAATTCTTTAAACTGTAAATATTTATATTGTAATATAAACATTTCAAAATGATTTAGCAAAAGCCCAAAGTCATGAATGAATGTTTAGCAGTGTAATTTTGTAGCAATCTCACTATTTGAAGCAAGACCAGCTTTACCCATGGATTTTTGAATTGGTAATTGCATTATCAGAAGAAAGAACTTAAGAGATAAAAGTATTTATTTTCTTTTTTAATATAGCCTTAATAAGAAGCTATGTGAGATGGAGTCTACATATTTTCTCTCAGTAAGAAAGACAAAAAAACCTCCACACTAAGAAACCCCAACTCTTAACAGAAGAGTGGAAAAACAAAGTAAATAACCAAATGAATAAAAAGTGTTTCATCTTCATGAGATGTTTCAGGCATAAGGATCTTTCACAACCAGATCAACAGCAAGAGAGCAAATTATCACTTACTCTTTTGCCATAGAAGCCAACAAACTATTGAGTTCACAGGTTACTGCTTGAGTAAGCATTTGGAGCAGTTCACTATGCTTTGCGTAAGAGGGAGAAAAAAAAATCAGTCTATGGAGGTCAGAAAAAAACCCCTACAACTTTCCATTATCTTCAGAAAGGTGCCAAAATTTCCCTTCAGGTGAAAACTCTTTCTTGATTCTAAATTTCAGTAAAAGATAAGACCATTTAAGCTATTTTACATCAAATGGTTCCAGGCATAAAAAACTGGTTTAGTATTTAGCTTTGCAAAAGCAGGAACTCAACTGCAAGGATTGATTTATATTTAATTTTACTCTGGGTAGTAAGATCAGAATCTTGTTTAGTCAGGAATTCTATCTCAGTAGCTTTCTATCTTGAAAGAGCATAAGCTATTTTGATTACTGGATATATAGATTCCTGATAAATCTTGTCATAAATCTTTATTAAACATAAATTATTTTAATTTCACAATTTCAAGTACATCTTTGACTGAAAAGTGAAATTTTCCTTTAAGCCTGTTCCCTGATTTGCTATTTTTAGAAGTGTCGACATTTCATATTTTTTTAATACTTTCCCAATGATGAACCTAAAAAAAAAACCACACAGCAGAGTAGCTTTATTTCAGCCCTTGGCTACAGCTTAAGCATCTTCAAAATCCAAGTTTGCCAGAGACGTTCTCTTGACTTGCAATCATGTACGAAAACCTGCCTGAAGACAAGGGTCAATGCACAATGAAGTACCTGAGGCTGCACAAACATTTATCTTTGCAATATCTGCTTTAATACTAAATACCTTCAATAATTTCCATTACCAAAGGGGATTTTCTCCCCATTAAACAAATGCAGCTGTCTTGGGCAAAACTGCTGAGCTTGTAAAAATAGTTCTCAGCCCCTTCAGCCAATTAGTCTTTCTCATAAAATTAAAAAGACAAAGATATTCTGATTCTTGCTGTGCATTTACTTTAGCTGCAACAGCACTGGTGTTCTTGGACATTGGTAACCTGGAAACCCTGCTACAACTTTGGTCTTTTAGCACACATTTGTGAACTTACTACAAAAATCTAATTATAATGCTAAAATAGTTTAAAAAAAAAATTGCAAAGTTCTGGATGGGGAAATGGAAGCAGAACCACTCTTAAGAACAGATATGATTCTATTTATCCCCAATCATTACACAGACATTTCAAATTTCTATTGCATTTTGAGCTTTAAACTTCTAGTTCCTTTGCCCAGAAGGATGAAATTCCAATTTGAAATGCACGTTCTGCAGCATCACTTAGAAAGATGTACGACCTCAAAGTTGTTCTAATTCAAACAGTCAGGGGACATTATTTCATGCCATTTATTACGTATTTAAATGTGGGGACATCCCCAAGACAGCAAAGACACTATTGGAAATGCCGTGATGCAGACTGGACAATTCATTCAAAGGCAGGCTCATGTCCTTGCCCAAAACCTTTTAAGTAAGGTGATGTCATGGAGAACTGGTATCATGGAACTGTCATCAGGACAGTCCCACTGTAAAGTCACTGCAGCACAGGTAGGATGAATGTCTACGTATGCTCTTGAAGTGAATGACAGAGCTACTCCAGTGAGACCCAGATTTCACTCAAAACACAATCACAGGACATAATTTTTTATCTAGTGATAATAAAACCCACCAGAAATGGAGTCATAGAATCAGAGAACGGCTTGGGTTGAAAGGGCCTGAAGTCCAGGCTGGAGACAATCAGTGCTTAAGTTTGCAGTGAAATGAAGCAAAGTACTTGTAACACAAACAGCTGGATGGTCTGCAGTCAGCCCACCTCAACTGGAACCCAGTGGTTCCTGTGTTAGGCCACTGTGTAATGAAATAAGACTTCAGAAAAACTATCACATTTGTGAAATATTTTAATATGTGACTATCAAAGCTAAGTCATACTAGCAAAATATTTCAGTATTGCCATTAAGGAGCTCTGTTGTTCACAACTGCAGAGTGGAAGGCTTGATATTTCACTCCTTGAACTGTTCATAGCACTCCCTAAATGAGCTTGTATTGGTAATCCTGGTGTCCAGTCCAAATTACAGCAAGTGAAATTGCATTCTGCTTATCTAAATTCCCCACACAGTATCTATATACAGTTTTTATATTTGGCCTGCATTTAAAATGGTAGGTGCTGTTCCACTCCAGAGGCTCATGCCTGTCAGTCTGAAGGGAATGATTACTATATATCTCCTGTGCTTATTCAAAGGTTTTTTTTTATTCTGCTTTTCATTTATTTAAATAATTACTATTGCTTGCTGTGGGAAACACTTTAAAAATGCAGTTTTAGCACAGTAAAAAATGACAGCAGGGAAAACTTCTCCAAATTCAGAGATCAGCTAATAAAATCACCTTAAATATTTGAAGTTTAAAAATATAGATTTTTTTTTTATGGTCAGTTTATTCCAGGTATTAAAAATTATCTCTTACTCAAGACTCTTTGACTGATGACAAGGTTAATAGGAAATCCTAATTTTAGCCATATCCCCATAATGTCAAACCCATTTTTCAATAGTCAGTATATGGAATTAGAAGTTATGAAAACCTGCTAAAGAGGTGGCATTTTGGTGTGAAATTATCATCTGATATTGTTTATTTTCAAAACAGAACAAAGAACCAAATCATACTTTTGTTAGGATGAATTTGAGATTCAGTGAAGAAAAACGCATCAGACGGAACCATAGCAGAGGAACGGAACACACGTGCTTTGCAAGCAGTATTTAGGAAAAAGACCACAAACTAAACTATCAGAGTTTTATTTCTGTTGCAAATTATCACAATCACAATTAATATAAAACAGAAAGCACTGAGGAAACATGACTGTTGGATATAAGATTTATCAAGGTGTAAAAACCACATCCAAGACTCTACTACTAGAAAACCTGTGACTGTGTATTAGAGAAAACATTTCTATGCATCAAACACCAAGTGAAAGAGAATAAGCAGCATAGTATAATTGACAGGGATTAAACACCTTCATGCTTTTGAAGGTAACGGAAGTTGGAGCATCATTTCTACCCAAGAGTCTTGTTTTAAGCAGACTTGTTTACAATCAGCTATTAGGAAAAGCCTCAGCATAAACCACCAATCTTCATTTTAACTCATCCATGTTGTTCATACGTTAGACAAGCTATTTCCAAAAGCATTTAAATTCTAGTCATGAGACTTCACACACTCTCTTACACTTGCTGCATAAGGCTAAAAACAGTCACTAAAGGAGCAGAAGGAACGGGAGGTTGCGTTATTGCTTGTAACAGGAACTTAGATGAAAATTTTTTATTGAGCTCCAAATAAAACATTGTTGCATCACTATACAATTAAGAGTTTAAATATACAATTATTTTAAAAAGTGTATACTGTTATACACTTTAAGGCTTTAATACAAGAAATACTGAACAGGATTTTCACACTCCGTAGCCTCTCGCTGATGTCTGGGCACACGGATAAGTACAATGCTCTAAGCAGTCCATAATTAACATGGCAGAAGTTCCTGAAAGAGAGCAAAATACAATTTAATTGTATATATCCTAAGACTGGTGACCATGAATTCTCTGAAGACTGTTAAGATTATAAGCAGTGGAATCAGGCAATTATGCATATAATTAACGTATGTAGATTTATGGAAACCACTGCAGAAACTATCATTGAAATTCAGTGCAAATGTTATTAAAAGGTTCAATAAAGGCAAATTAATGATATGATTAATTATAACCATTGACATTACTTGCTTGACTGGTAACATACAATAACAGACCAGTGTCAGAGTACGAAACTCTACTAGAATGAAAACACACTTCTAGGTTAATTTGTTACAGTGGAAGAAAGGCTGCCCCCTACATTGATTTATTTTTTTAATTTAGAGACCTTCTCTGATTATTTTTCCTCTCTGTTCAAAATCTAATGGATTTCACTTCAGAGATTATAGAAACAAAAACTAACAGGAAAATGCAATAGCAGACTGCTAGTGTATGTTATTTTAGGAACTGTCAAGAGAAGTTTTGCACTACAAATACATAGTTTTGAAGAGTATCTAATATCAACTGTTTGAACTGATGCAGTTTATAGAGTGCACACCTCTACAGGACATGATAATTGATACCTTTTGTTTTTTAAGAGGCATGAAAACACATTTTCTTAGGAGAAAGAAAGATTTTAAGAGTTATCAACATGGAGCTTTGGAAGCAGGAAGACTTAGTTTATATCGTGAAACCATATGGTAATCATTCAATGATGCACCCAAACAGCCTCTGCTATCAGGGAAACACACTTTTCCCCTGCCAAAAGCAACTTAAACCAATTTAAGTTTCTGGACTTCAAGGCAGAGTAGCAGAGAAGTGGCACACATGCTTGCTGATACATTCATCCTCCCTACTTGAGGAACCAAGAAAAGATGCCAAAAAAAAAAAAAAAAAAGAGTTGGGTTGACAATATAGAACAGTGAACTCACTTCTGAATTCACTTATTTATCTACTAGTCATCCCTGCCACTAGATACTTTAGTTTCAACCCTTCAAGTTTCAATGTATATGTTTAATATAACACTTAATATTTGCAGATGAACGCTTCCTATGTAACTCATCATACTACGTGATTTAAGATGTGAACAGAGATTTTGCCAATTCTACTATAAATATTTTTAAAAGATATTTATATATTCAGTTTTGCCATAGCAGTTCTAGCAGCTGTTATTAAATCTTTGCCCCTTGAGCCCCAAAGGGCAGAAATCTTCTCCAAGCTCTCCTATCCTTAAAGAGTCCTTTGATTTAAACCCTTAAAACACTCAAAATTGTTCTAAAGCCATTTTGTATGCACAAAAGGTTCCTTCAGGATGTGACAGCAGCCTCTTAAATTTACTGTGGTATACAGAGGCAGTGCAATGTATGCAGTATTTCACAGTACAGAGCTCTATTTATCTGAGCCTTGTCAACTAAAGGCACTGAGATCATGACATTAGCAGGGAGAATTACCATTCCAAATAGAAAAAAAAAACCCTATTTCTATTTAAAATATACACCACCTGAGCATAAATACAGTTAAACAGTAGAGCCAGCTATTCTTCAGCTAATGTTTCTCAATGGATTTGTTCTCCTTCAATTTGTGCCAAAAATCAGTCTGCTAACTTGTGCAGAAATGCATGACTTGGAAAATCAGTCTACAAAATGTGTTTTTCAAGTTTTAGGCATGTTTGCTGACCAGATTAGAGTTTTAAACTCCCATTTTAACAGTACTAGCATCAAATTACATACATTTTCTTCAGCTTCCTCTGTGCAATGAAATACTTAATTGGTTGAAATGTTGTCATAACTATGTATACCTTTCAATACACAGCCAGAGGAGTGTCCACACACTGTGACAGTCTCATGTCCTCATTAAGGGTAGCTTAAAACTATTACTTTTCCCACCAGAATTCAACAGAGCCAATGATACTTAAAGTCTTGTGCAGAATTAAGAATTAAGGACCTTCATTATTTATTTAATAATTTCCCAGATGAGTAAAGATACCTACCAAAGCATCAGAAGATTAGGGTTTTTGTTCTCTTGGCTGTCCAAAGAGGTGGGTTTCCTGACAAGAGAGGAAAAAAGAGGTAATTTTACTAAAGTTCAAAGAATTTCAAATAAAAACTAAAGAAAACAATGTAAATCAAACTATAATTAATAGAAACTTAATGCTTAACAAAAAGCATTTGTAATGTTTAAGTTACTAGAATTTATGGAAAAATAATATATTACAAACTACTGGTTATGAGGTTTTACAGTTGTTTAATAGGGAATAGTTTGTCCAAATTTAACTAGCTAAACTAAGGCTTTTTAGATTACTGATACAAATTAAACGTTTTAAAATGAGAATTTAGGTGTCCTCAAAGCCTTTCCTACATTCTAAAAGGAAACTTTCTAAGTTGTAGCCTCCCTGTTTTTATTGGTTATACTGAGATAACTTAAGTGAGATTAAAATCTAATTTGATTTATTTACCTTGGCAAATGAAGACCGTTTTAAGGGTTACACATCCTCTGCCTCTGACGAAAGCGACCTCAATTAGTCAAGTCAGAAAGTCTTTAAAAGCTTTGTGTTTATTGCTTCCAGCACGGAGCGAGGTGGTCATTAACGTATCAAAATTCTCATAAAAATTCCAAAGTTGCACTAGTGAAAAAATGCTCAACAAGATGAAAACTAGTCACATCTTTTCCAGAAAATTCATTAGCTATTTTAAACCATTTTTTTAACAAAAGTATTTTGATTTAATGTGGCACTCAAGCAGATCCATACCATTTGGATACTTTAAACAGCATTTATATCTACTGTGAGTATATAGAGAGATACATTTAGGTTTAAACCATTTTGTTTTAAAAGAAGTTGCGCAGTGTTTAATATGAGCCTTTTATGCTGATCACTGTTAAACATTTCTCCCTGTTTACTACTATTTATGAAGTTTTATTATAAGATAAAGCATAAAATTAATCTCACACACACTGATTTTTCTTTCAAAAGTTTATTTAGTATCAAGCAAGGGTAAAACTTTGCTTAACACTACAGAACATTTCAAGACTTGAGTTACAAAATACCACATTATTCGCATTTGTAGTTTGCTTTCCTTTTTATGCATGTTTGCAAAGAGAAAATCTAGCAAATGGCTGAAAATGAAAACTAAAAACTAAATTGTTGAAAACCTTTAAAATAAAAGGTTACGCTTATGTTATAAAGAATGGACTAACGTATTTAGTAAACCTATTTTTTGTTTAACACTAGTTAATCAAAGGTTATTTTTTTGATCACCTATTTTTTCAAATACAGTTTGGAAATAACAAAGTTCCTTGTTTTACATATCTTTCTGTCCAGGTTGTTCTTTCAACAAAATATTTTAAAGTTCAGTCCATCCATTCAGATTTTTTATGCACTTTGAGTTAATAAAAAGGGATTGTTCATAGAAAAAATTACTTTGAACAGTATACAGGACTGGTGGAGATTGGATATTTCACAACATCAGACAGTACAATCAGTATCTGGCATATGGCTGGTCTCTGTAGACTCCTTTTGTTGTCCTTGCAGAAGGTGCCTTGTGTCGTGAGTTGGTCCATTCTTCTTGCCCTACAAGAAAGGAAAACATGGTTAGACCCCTTCCAGTGTTCTCAGATGCTGTACTTATTTTTCCCTTAACTGTTAATTAGATAACCACGTTCTGTTTACCAAAACCAGAGTGTACAAAGTGACGTCTAACACTTGAACCAAAAAATCTGGGTATAACACATCTATATAATGATTTCTCAGCCACCCCATAATGATTTCTCAGCACATAAGAGCAGAGAATGTGATAAGCTAATGGCAAAGATATTTAGTGCTCTGGCATTCAGCTGGACCTGCTTGTTGCAAATGCACAGAAGTGTTGGCTCCAGTAGCAGACCTATCAATAATTACACTGGGATTAAATGAATGGAGAGTATGAATTATGTATAAGAAAATAAGATGCCCTCAGAAATAAGTTTCTTTGCGTCAGTACCAGTTTAGAGCTAATTCAAAATATGCAACCCAAGCCTCAAGTATCACTACAAACACCTGTGGCTTCTAACATCCTAAGGCCAATATTCCATTTCACAGTAAACACACATCTTGTCTAAAATGCAAGAAACAGGAAGGCACATTATAAAAGAAATTAAAAGGACAAGGAGTATTTTGACTATAAAATAAGTTTGTAAAAAATGTGCTATATATTTAATGCTTTATAATCCTACCACCTTTTAATGGTAATAAATACTAAAAAAGGTAGCAAAATTATTATCTTAAATGAGAGTCAGACCTACTGTGCCAAGCATTCACAAGAGGGAAAACACAGGACCAAACACATAGTATAATGAAACAGTACGTAGGCACATTTAATCAAGTAAACAAATCAGACTAGTCGGGTAGTTAAAAAATAAAATGTATAACTGTTTATATCACCCCTGCAAGAAAAAAAAAAAAAAGACACAAAAAAACCTCAACCCTAAAAGCAAATAGACCTTAAAATAGCGTATGTGTTTCCATAGCTACTAGAATTGCCCTGCCCTAAAATGCAATTCAGAAACTAAGGGTGGAATCCAAACCTATGGTAGACTAAAATGGAGGCATCACTTTGCTTTGTAGTCAAAAAGAATGAAATCAAAGAACCCCTTGAATGCTAAGGAAATTTGCTCCAACAGGAAGTATCTGAAATTAGGTGACAAGAATCCCATATTTCGAGGGTTAAGTTTCATCATCTCCTCACAGAAGCCTCATCCTAGCTACTTTTTAATAATGTAGGTGGTTGCCTGCAGAGTCCAGGTTATAAATCATACCGAGGTGGTCAGGACATTTGCCTAGGAGGTAAAAGGAACAAGTTCAAATTTGGTGTAAGGCTGAAAGAATTAAACTTGCACCTCAGGCAAGTTCCACGGGAATCTGATAACAAAATAACACACACGAGAATCAACCTCTTGTGCTTCCTCATTGCACAGACTGCAAGGTTTGTATTAAAAAACAGAAAGAACCTGAGCCTAATAGTAAGGGCAGCTGACTGAGGGGAAGAATTAATATCCTAGCTCTTAAACACCACTGTAAGGCACTGTTCAAATGTAAAAAGCTGTCTTGGCTTTAAGGGGTATATTTGGCTCCTTTTAGAGCAACTGGTCAAATCAGTAGGGTAAAGAGTTACCTTACTGTTTATCAGTTTTCATTTTGGTGCTGTTTAGGGCTCCAAATCTTAAAAAGATTGATATTCGTCCTATATTCCCTGGATTGTCACCTGAGTTTCTCAGAGGACGAAGTTCAGGTACCTCCTGGGAATCTGAGTTCCCTCCTGGCCAGCACGAGCCAATCATCTGTTCATTATGCAGTCTTAGGACTTTTAGTTTGAGGTACCTAATGTTCTTTATATACAGATTATTAGTCTGTAACTCTGCATTTAAAGGATATACTTGAACATCAGTTAGTTAAGAAATAAAATGTATAAGTGTTTATGTGCAAAAACTTCAGTGGTTGCAACCCATATAATCATTCTTCAAGGTATTTATAGTCTTCCTCTCAACTTGAGTAAATACATCACTTAATATTCTGAGTGGCTGTGCTTTGATAAATAGAAAACCAACTTTAAATGCAAAAGCAATGAAAAATCCATATTTTCAACCTTGAATACCACAATCCATATTTTTCCCCATCAGTCTATCTACATTAAGCAGTTTTATACATTTTCACCCCCATCAATTTTGCATTAATGAACTAGTCTTAGAAATATCAGGCTTATAATGGCAAACAGTTTATTTTAATGCTGAAATAAAGATTTAAGCTATATATCTATCAGCACCAACTGAAAGTGCTGGGGGACTGAGGAATTCCAAATGACCTTCTTTTGATAAACTGACTTTCTCCTTAAGCAAAATAATTAGTTTAAGCAGATAATGTTGGGCAAACTACTGGATTAGGTGCATTTATCACAACTTAGTTGAGGTCATTTTAGTTTTCAGCAGGAAGCACCCAAATGGAGTTAGAGAAATAGACCATGGAAAACTTAGTAGAGCTCTAAAATCATTGAAGCATTCATTACCCAGAATCACAATTTTTGCATTAGTTACTAACAACCCTCAAATGTTTGAGATTTGAGAAGCCTAGATTATATTTCTCTAATCTCTAGCCAGAGATTTAACGTTTATCTCTTAAGCAAAGGTGCCTTTTAACATGCTTTATGCTTCTTTATAACAGATTTCTTTAATTAAACCTGTCACTACCCCACTTCTGTATTAAAAATAAATGTGATCTTTACCACCAGCATATGTTTTTTGCTTCATTATGCATTGTTTTGTCTCTATATAATATACAGTAACCCATTGCCCTCATGACTATTAGCTACCCAAAGTACTTCCCTAACCTTTACATAATGACTCCCTGCTTGATTTCCCAAGACTGATGCATGAAAATGAACTAATACAAAAAGACCATACAAGACTAAAACACACTCAATTAGGCCCTGATTCAGCTGGAAGCTTCAGCATATCTTTACCTTGTACCAAGTCTCAATGCCAGCTACATCACACTAGAGGCATTTGCTTTTGGTAGCCAAAAGTTCTGGAAAAATGTCCTACACTCCTATTTTTCTCTTTAAATCTCATTAAATGTGACATGAAATGGGTGCTTGCAGCACGATTTAGATTTGATTTTTTTTCTATTTCTTTGATTTTAGTTTCACACAACTACATTATCTAAGAGACCTCAGAGACTCCTTTCAGTATTTTTCTCAATAAGCACACAAGGAGCTCTGTGACAGCACAGGAATCCCTGAGCAGCTGTTATCCACTGCAGAACTGAGACTTTCCTTATGGAAATTGTTCTTTGATTATATTTTTTTCAAGAGTCTACTACTGTAGTCATTCAGCTCATAAAGCCACTCACCATAAGAGTCATATGTTTCTTCACTCAGGCCGTGACCATAGTCATAGTAATCTGCTCCACTGTGGGGGGAAGAGGAAAGTGGAAAAAAACAAGAAATAAACCAGTTATGAGCAGTAATGCTTATTACACATTCCACCTTTGAAAAGAAGAAAGCTTGAAGGATATAGACAAGCATCCATGTGACAGTGACAACTGAGGTTCTACTTGTTCATTACTTACAACCATATTGACTTTCATTTAGGATTTTTTTCATCACTGAGTTCCTCATTCACATTGTAAATGTGGATGTGGGAATTTTGTATTTAAAATTATACCTATAGTATGGAAGGCTGAAGACCTTATAAGCATCAGTGAAAGAATCAGAGGTGTAGGTACTGAACCAATTTGTCATATAAACTCCTCTTCATTATCTTCTGTTGCCTAGTATTTTGCCTCTGGATCTTTGAATTCACTGATAGAAATGTAATAAAGGACAAGAAACTTGCTGACTAGAGGGTTATATAGCTGCTATACCTGTACAAGTTCCAATGTCTTCAAAACAACGGATGTGCACAAATATAAATGCTATAATTTTAACTCTCAGGCAGGAAATGAAAATAGGAACTACATTAGAAGCAGAAATACAGAGTTTTTAAGATTCAAAAGTATGTATGAATACCATAACCATGGCCTAAACCAGTCTTACATTTCATAACGGCATTTAAGTTTTTAATAAGATCTCTGAATGGAAACTGAAGAATAATCCTGATTATGCACTATTCCATTATGCTTTCATATTTCATGTAAGTCTGGCTAGGGGTAGTGTTTTACACAGTTCACAGGACATCAACAGCAAGTGCCTTAATTGTTTCTTCCCTTTTCTTTCTAACCACAGCCAGACTCAGGGCTGATGGTATTCAGAAAATACTCTATAAACTTTAGCTACCAAGTCATTACCTCTTGAGTGAGAAGGAAATCACTAATATATGATCACTAGCAAGTATTTACTAATATTGACAAAATGTTTCTAACAAGAGATTGATTGCTAACAAAGTAAACACCAGAGAGAAAACCCCCCAATTTTATACCCTTAACGTGAATTAGCAGGTAAAGCATTTACAGAAAATAAACATCACAATCACTTCTAAACTGACAGAAGACAATTTGTTGGTTTTGGGTTGTTTGTGGTTTAGTTTGGGTTTGTTTTTTTTTTTTTTTAACTTAAAAGTTTTACATCTCACAAAGCAACCAGGACAGGAAAAATACAGTTGTGGTGTGTGCAAATGCATATATAAAAAAAGTCTGGGTGAGTATTTTTTATTGCTGGTATAACACTTCCTAAACAAAAACTTTTAACAGAATGCACTCTGGAGACCCATAAAACCTATACAACCTAAATGTTATCTATGGTTTCTCAGTCCACGTGATGAGGACCCCAGAATAACAAGGGTCCTGCAGCAGCCAGTGATCAAACAGTATTTATTCTGACAACCAACTTAAAAGTGACATTCACTGTCTTTCCACATAGTACTTGATTATTTATTTTAAGGCTGTTATTGAGTTTAGAAGCCAACAGCAGCTGAGCCCTCTTCCTGTGTCTGTCAATCCTGTCAGAATGACTTTGCAGTGTCTCATTTCATAGATCTGATATATCTATTAAACAAAAGACTCACTTTACCGCACATAAACTGCAAAACAAATAAGCATCAGAAAGGAAGAAACCTTTTACTTATACTGAAAGCACATCATAACCCATCTTTATTAACAGAGAAGCCCCTCAAAATTAATAACCTGTCCAAAAGGTACAAGTTATAATGGGAGGTAAAGCTGCCCAGTGCAATTCAGTGTTCTCTGCTCTACTTCATGTGTGCTCTACGAGCAATGACAACCCCCTCCATTCAACTGCATGTTAAACAAACCCAAAGCTTCACATGAGACAACTTAAAGACTAAGACCCGAAGAAAAGGGTACATACAGATGTTGCAAGAAATTCTATGTGCAAAAAAAAAAAAAAAATTAAAAGAGCATTTTTTGTTTAATCTGCAAGAGTCTGAATAGCCCATGGAGTTCACAACCAAGACCAAAGGTAACTGGGGGTGGGTTTGGTTTTTTTTTAGTGCTGTATATGAAGTTACAGCTTATATATTTTTCTTTTTTAAAGCAAACCACCTGCTAAAAGGAAACCCAATCAAAGCAACCTGCAATACCAAACTTCTAAATTGTAAATTTTAACTCATTAACTGAGATAGTTGAGGTCAATTCTGCTGTGAGGATTTAAGTAGCTATATTAAACAATTCTTCCTGTGGACAGTAGGTATGTTACAAACTTTTGTTTTAAAAGCATCCTTGACATTTAGATTCTTTTTTTATATCATTTTTATATATGTTCTTTGACATCTTAGCATTCTGACTGAAGATAATTTAAACTATTTCCCTAGAAATTCTGCGAGGAAAGCCCTTTTCATAGAATCATAGGAAGGCTTGGGTTGGAAGGGACCTTAAAGTTCACCTAATTCCAACTCCCTGTCACAGATAGGAAGACTAGATGAGGCAGCTCAGGTTGCTCCTCTTCCTTTCATTTTGTCTCACAGGAAGGAGAACAAATTCACAAAACCAGTATATTTTCTTTAACCTTGTGTGACTCCCTCCTTTCAGAAAAAGGAAAAAAATGACATGGATCCTTTCCTTTTTAACCCAGTAAGACTAAACATGGAACATTTGTGCTTGAAGGTTTTGTTTTCAGATGTGAAATGTCTCTTTGAGGCCATTTTCTTAACTTTTCCTTACTTCTCTAAGCATCTACTCTTTTAGATGAATAATTGGATTACATGGCATAGCCAGCTGAGTTTTCAGGCATCTTTGTAACCATGAAGGAAAAAAGCAGAAGTGCAACCAACACTGGAATATCAGCTGTGACTCAGATCTTTTGTACATAAAGAGCTTTTGCTTATAACCCCTCATATTTAACTTCTTTTGTATTCTCATTCCAGCACAATGGCTTTGGACTGTCAAGAGAGAAGACAGAGGTGGTAAAGAAAAAATGCTTTGATTTTCCCCATCACCATAAAAACTCAGAACTACTTAATGCTATGGAAGGATTAGCAAGTAACAATAAACTTAAGTATGTTGTTTCTAATTGCTGAGGGCTGGGCAGTAATCCTACAATGCTTGGAGAAAGTATGAAGAGAGGTTTCAGTAGTTAAGTATGGTCAGGGGGAAGTACCTGTTTTCTCTGTTAGAGAAACAGCCTGAGACAGAGAGGAGCAAGTTCAGATTTTAGCCCTGCATCACTGGTGAAGTAGAAATGCTTCCCAAGGGCTTTACCCAGTGAAACAGAGGACTGGGAAGCTTTCTGCCATTTTTCTAGAATCACTGGGCTGGAGAAGTGCCTTGAAATAGTTCAGTTTAGAAGTATTCAACATAAGCCTTCAAAGGTCCTGCAGAATATGACCTGAATTTCTCAGGCTTTTCTGCAAAGCTCATTTTTTTCTGAAAATATCTTGGTGAACCATAATAGCACAAATATTTATGAAAAAAAAAAAAACAACAAATAGGAGTAACTGCTCTTGACATGATGGTTAAGCCTCAAGGAACTTCTACCTTTTATACTATATAAACGATTAGCTTATTCTTTGTAGAGAATATTCTCTTGGGACAGATATCAACAGAATGGTAGTTTCAGCCTAACTCTCATGGGTCACTCAATACAAGACAGATATTGAGGTGCTGGAGTGAATCCAGAGAAGGGCAATAGAGTTGGAGGAGGGTCTGGAGCGTAAATCATGAGGAGTGGCTGAGAGAGCTGGAGGTGTTTAGTCTGGAGAAAAGGAGGCTCAGAGGGGAACTTACTGCTCCCTACAACCATGAGAACAGAGGTTGCATGTAGTGAGGTGGGTGTCAGTCTCCTCTCTCAGGTAACAACTGACAGGATGAGAGGAAATGGTCTCAAGCTGTGCCAGGATGATTCAGGTCAGATATCAGGAAGAATTTCTTCACTGAAAGGGTGGTGAGGTATCAGAGTGGGCTGCCAGGAAGGGGGCGGAGTCACCACCCCTGGAAGTGTTCAAGAAACGTCTGGATGTGACACTTAGTGCTATGGTTTAGTTGACATCCTGCTGTTCAGTCAAATGTTGGACTTGACTCAGAGGTCTTCTCCAACCTTAATGATTCTATGATTCCATATCTGAAGAGGTCACTAGGCTATTTTTGGGATAAACCCAAAACAGGTAGGTCAACCACACAGTGCAAGTGTACTTCCAAAAACGCACAAAGGAAGTAAAAACATATTGTGATTAATTCATGTGATTGCCACAGCTCTTTAAAAGATGTCTGTAACAAATATAGAGTGGTCATTATGCCATTTCTGTGTTTGAAACAGAAGCAGTGTGGCATGGAGCCTGGTTGCTAAGGGGAGATTAAAAGGTCTCTGATTGAAAGCTTTTAGCTTACTGGAAAATCCCAGACTTAAGCACTGACAAGCCTGGCTCTCAGGTTTAAACACTGAGTGATCAGAAACCTTCTCCAACTTCAGTGATAAAAAAAACAGCTTTAGCAACCAGTTCAACTTCATGTAATGCTCATTAGGGAAAAAATGACCAAAATTTGTTTATTCCTTTGCACAAAGGATTTATTCCTAGGATCAAGTAATTTTGGGACTGATCCCTTCAGGTATAAGCCAGGGCAGTTTCAGAAAGTGGCAATAAAATCCTTACAAACACTAAGGTTTTCTTTTGTGCCATGAGCAGCTCCCCAAGATCAGATTTGTCCTTCTACACAGCGTTGCACAGAACAGCAGCAAAGTAGAAAGAACAAATGAGGATCTCTCTAACAATAGTTCTTATATGATAGACCCTGACCGATATGATATACCCTGACCGATATGATCACATCTGAAGAGAATTCCTCCACAAAGACAAGCCTCTTTCTGTCATTCCTATCAGATCATCATGCTCAGTTGCTCCTGATAACAAAAAGCATTCTGTCAACAGTAAACAGGAAGTGTGTCCAGGCAAAAATAACTGCAGTGAAGCTCCCAACTCCATAACTGTCTTGAACACTGAGCATCTGCTCTCAATGCTTC